TGTGCTGATGTGTATTGAGATCCACAGTCGGAGACCAGAATTCTCGGTACGCCGTATCTGGCAAAATGGGCTTTGAGTTTGGTGATTACTGCCTCTGTTGACGCCGTAGGTAAGTAATCTACCTCAATAAAGTTGGAAAAATAGTCGACGGTTACGAGGTACTGTCGATTTTTTATTTCGAAGATATCAGATCCAACTTTATCCCAGGGTCTGTCTCCTTGCTCGTGCTGTCTCAGGGTTTCTTTCTGGTTTCTTGGTTTTGTTCTCTGGCAAGCTTCGCAGGATTCTGCAATCTGCTTGACTTCAGCTGCCATTCCGGGCCAGAAAACAACTTCTCGTGCTCTTCTCAGCATACTTTCGGTTGACAGGTGAGCGGCGTGCAATGTTCTTTTGATTTCTTCTCTCATTGCCTTTGGGACTAGAACCTTCTCTCCCTTCAGTATCAGTCCGTCTTGCCAGCTCATCGTGTCCTTGTAGTCATAAACTGGTCGTGCCGCCACAGGCACTTTTGATTTGCTGTCAGGCCACCCATTTCTGATGACACTTACTAGTGTTTGTAGCTCTGTGTCTTTGCTTGTCTCTGTCTGTAGTTTATCCAACATCGCGTCAGGAATGCTGCTCCTTGTTTCAGGGGTTTCTGTTGCATCCACGCTCTGGATCGCAGCTCTGGACAGTGTGTCGGCGATGAGGAGTGAGCTTCCTTTTGCCCATGTCAATGAAAAGTCATATCGGTTACTCCTCATGATCAATCTTTGGAGTCTTCTTGGGGCTTCGCTGAGTGGTTTCCTAATGATGGTTTCCAGGGGCTTGTGGTCAGTGGTCACGTACACTTGCCGTCCAAATGTGTACTGGTCGAATCTTTCCAGACCAAACACCACAGCCAGCATCTCCTTCTCAATCTGCGCCCATCTTTGTTCAGTCTCTGTTAGGGTTCGGGACGCATATTCCAGTGGCTGACCATCTTGCATCAGGCAAGCACCTAAACCATCCTTGCTGCTGTCTACTTGGACTTCCAATGGCTTGTTTGGGTCATAGAAGATCAGGACTGGAGTTTCCGTGATCATCTTTTTAACCTCAGATACAGCTCTTTCGCACTCTTCCGACCAGACAAACTGCGTGTCTTTTTTAGTCAACCCTCTCAGAGGTTGCAGTTTGTCCGAGAGTCCACTCAAAAATTTGGCCAGGTATTGCACCATACCGCAGAACCGCTTAACGTCATGGACATCCTTCGGGGTTGGCATGTTGACGATAGCTTCAACTTTCTTCTTGTCTGGTTCTATGCCTCTGGCGCTTATCATGTGACCCATAAATATAACTTCTGTGCACTTTTCCTTTGCCTTTTCTTCGTTCAGCTTGATGTCCCTCTCTCGACATCGCTGCTTCAGTTCCTCACATTTTCTGTCGTGATCTCTCCCAGCATCTTCAGCTGTTGATCCGTTGCCGATCACGAGGATGTCGTCTGCGACGTTGACAATGCCTTCGAGGTCTTCTAGGGCTGTTGCGAGATGTCTTTGGAATATTTCACTTCAGACATTCAGTCCAAATGGCAATCTTGTCCAACGAAATCTACCGATAGGTGTAATCATAGTAGTCAACTTGCTTGACTCTGTGTCCAGTTTAATATGCCAGAATGCTTCCTTCACATCCAGTTTTGTGAAGATCTTGGCATCTTTGAACTTTGGCAGGACATCATCCAATGTTGGGAGCTTGTAATGTTCCCTCTGAAGAGCCTTGTTGAGAGGTCGAGGATCTATGCAGATTCTTAGTGATCCGTTTTGTTCTCCACAATGGCCATTTGGCTCACCCATTCTGTGGCCTCTGCGACTTTCTTCAATATTCCTCGCTCTAACAAATTGTTCAACTCTTCTTTTACTTTGTCCTCCAGTGCAAATTGGACTTTTCGGCAGGGCAGCACTTGTGGTCTGATGCTGGGATCTGTCTTTAAACGAACTGTTCCCAGCGTTCCTGGTTCCTCTTTGTTGACCCTGGCGATCATCTTCTCCTTGTTGATGGTGATAAACCAAAATCTTCACAGGATGACAATCCAAGCAGGCAGTTTAAGTTGTTCTCTACAACTGTGAACTTGACAGGGACTTGCTGGCCCGTTCGTTTGTTCGTCACCACAAGTGTCGTCTCTCCCACCGGCTTCATCTTTATCCCATTCCACATCACTAAGGTGTGTCTCGACTTCGACACCTGTTCTTTCCGCACAAATCGCTGCTGGATTGAGTTGACATCGGCTGCAGTGTCGATCTGAAATCTCACCTGACGGTCGTTCACCGTGAGGCAAGCCGTTGCTCTCTGATTTGCGCTTACTGCCTGGACTTTCTTTCCTCGGCTTTTGCTTTTAGTGGAGGCCTGTTGGACTGCATTGAGCCATTTCTGTCGAGGCCCATGCTCCCATTCTTCCTGAGGATCATTCACATCTTCCTCTTCAAATTCAAATTCGAGTGAATGGATTTTCTTGCATTCAGCTTGAAAATGATTTCTTCCCCCGCAGTGGGAGCATGTCTTGCCCCATGCCGGGCACTTTTCTTTCTTGGCCTCGTGCTGCTTTCCACAGAAGTGGCATTCCATCCTACTGGACTTGGATACTGGCGCTCCATTAGGGTAGCTCCTGGACTTTGGGGGTGGATTTCTTCCTTTGAAAGGCCTGGACTTGACCATCACCTTTACCACTTTGTGTGGGTGGTCCGTCATCTCCCTCAGGTTGCTGCTCGTCTGTTCATACGCTTGACAGATTTCGACTGTGCGCTTTAATGAAATTTCCGGCTCTCTCAGGAGTCTTTCTTTAATTACCCTTCCCACAGTGAATACTATCTTGTCCCTCAACATCTTGTCCTTCTCTTTGAAGTTGCATTTTTCTGCCTGAGCCTTTAAAGTTGTTGTAAACTTGTCGAAGGGCTCGATGAGGGGTAACTTCCAAAATCGGTACCGCTCCAAAACCTCATTATTGATGGGTTTGCAATACTCTTCGAGCTTTTGCAGTAGTGTCTCAGGGTCATCTCTGTCCTCTTCTGCTGTAAAATCTAACTGGTCCACCACTTCAATTGCCTCTGGACCTGCACAGTGGAGTATCACAGCCGCTTGTGTTTTGTTGGGCTTGGCACTCGCTCCCGTTGCTTCCAGGTAAATTCGGAGCAGCCTCTTCCACTTTCTAAACTGGTTCTCCAGGTCACTATCACTCATCTGGAGTGTAGGGGGCAATCTGAAGTTGGATTCCATTTTAGAAATCTATCAGGATCAGGTTCAGTAATAAATTTGCAGAGAGAAATCGCCTTGGCCCGAATCAGGGGATATAACTAAGAAAAACTGAACCGTTAGTATTCTTTATAGTGGTTATGTCCCTTGGACCACACACTCGAAGATCCTGTGGTCCGTGTGTGCCGTTGCCACTGACTTAAAACTATCTTTTTAGGTCAGAGGTCGTTGCCACCACAGTAGCTAAGTTTACGGGAGAGTTCTCACTCAGGGTGGAACTGAATTTGAGGCTTGGGCGGTACGGCGACCTAACTGTGCGTGATCAAACACACGGCCCGTTATTCCAGAGAAAATCTCTAGGGTCAGCCAGCTACTCTCCACTTAGACTACTGCTCCGCGTTATACCGGAACGACCGAGAAACAAAACAAAACAGTAGGACTCTTTGGCCAAGACCTAGATCCAGATCCAGATCCAAGTAATCTACACTCGTGCTTCTACTTCGTTTCGCGGGACCGATCTTGATCTATTCCAGATCTACTTCCAGATCTAGATCTAGCTAGTAACTAGATCCCCGTAATATAAGCTTTAACGGGACAGGTCAAAACTGCAAACTGAGCGTAAAATCAAGGTTCTATACAATTTCTTAGGAATCTTGAGACTTAAATAAACGACTTTACCGCTGCCACCATGTTGAGTTGTGTTCAGAACTCTTTATTTGACTTGATAACGCACAGAAGATGCGGGTACAGACTTGCTAGTTTATTAGAACCATAGCAACGGACGTTATTGAACAATATGCCCAATGGGCCTAACTTTAC